CCCGCGGTGAGGAGGGGAGTGGGGCAGGAGCAGGGGCTGGGCGAAGTGGAGCCCCTGCCAGGCCCCACTCCCCCCCGGCCCCGGCCTATGCCCCGCTCCCTCCCTCACTGCGGGGCCCTCAATCTGCACCCCCCTACAGCCCTTTCCCCTCCGCCCACCCCTTCCCCCACAGACGTACCTGCTGGGGTGGGACGCGTATGCACGCATGTGCTCAGCCCCCAAATAATTTTTTCTCCCTTCGCCTATGCAGCACCTGCCCCAGCCCCACTACCTCCCACACCGCAGGGGCCTCAATCTCCCCTCCCCCCCACCTTAAAAACAAGAAAAAAATATAATGGGATACATGAGCTGAAACTTTGGGACTGAAGAGGTACACTTGTTGAAAAAAGGTTGAAAACCCCTGTTCTAGGAGTACACCAGCACACTGATGACATTCAACAACAGTAGCACAGATTACATTGCAAATGTTAATTTTCATGCTGATGTATGCTGGAAGTACAGTGAGTCAAAAGATCTTAACTCTCACCAGCCATGGGATCAGTATGTCTAACAGCTATTTTTTAGATTGTTTCTGTCTGTCTCAGCATTACACACCTGTCCTAGGAAAGCTGCTTCCATCACTTATGCTCTCAGTGCCGATTCCTTCTCACTGACCATATCAAAATAACATTCCCTTTTCTGCATTAGTTTGAGTTCTTTCAAGCCTACATTCTCATACTAGATTGCACATGCCCATTTACTGCAATTACACTATCTGATTCAGTCAGCTGAAACTGTGTATCTTTGTTTGTTGTTGTTCAAAGATGTATACTGTCCATCTACCAAAATTTTCCGCCTACAGTTACCATGCTCATTAAGAGCCCAGTTCACTGATCTGTAACCATGGGGCTCCATAATATGTTACATGTGGATCTTCCACGCAGCTACCAAAATGGTACAAAACTTGTCCTCCATAAATGCTGGATTCTGGCAATGAGCCAATACATTTTCTAAAACCTTTGGAGATCATGCAGAAAAAGTGAATAATTCTCTAAACTGTTTTATTCAAATTCTCAAACCTCTATGCAACTTAAAGTTTCTGGAAATACCATGTCTACTTGACAGACACCTATGGCACTCTTTTATATTTCAGGCAATCTAGATGGACAAAAATGCAAGAACACATAGGTCATTCCATCTGATCCTCTACAATATGTAGATTTATTATCAGTCCCACAAGTGACTTATCTATCCTGACCCTGAATGACGGAGCTTTTCCCCATCTTTTGAGTGTCTATCCCATTGCTCGGATGTTATAAACACTTTTCTTCCCTTAGCTTTAAGCTATTGCTTCTTGTTCTGTCCTCTTATCAGACTGCATTCTTCATTCATGTATTCATTCATCTAGATGATGTTTATAGCCTGTGATCCTATCTCCTCTCTCCCATTCACTCATCCTTCATGCTGTGTATTTTATTACCCATCTTGGTACTTTCTCTAGGCCTTTTCTATACCCCACCCTGTATTGTGAATATCTAATTAAGATCAGTGTTATGTACTGCATAACCTGCCATCGTACTGTGTTTGGCAGTATGATCTTATTAGATCTAATCAGCTTTTCAGACCAGCGCAGTACTTGGGAAGGCCATTTGTTGAGAAGACCTGTGATCAATAAGGACTAAATCATGGCAATACACCAGCACAGACTGTCTTCTGAATGAGGCACAGAACACAATTTGACCTTAAGGATCCAATCTAACTCTCAGTGATTTGTAGTAATACTGAACTGGTTTGCTCATCACATTCCCATGAGTAGGAACATTTTTCCCCACCTTGAATTTCTTTGTAGTTTTGGAGGTGACAGTCTTCACTCTGTAGTCTTAGCAGCTGTATATTGTTACTATGTGTTATCAGTTAGCT